GGTGCGGCCCTGGCCCGTGGTTTGCAGCTGCGTGTGCTACTGCAGCGAGACGATGCTGCAGCGTGGTGTTAGAGGGCACCCAGGGCCTCACAGAGCTGTCTCCTAGGCTGAATCTGAGCTCTAACAGCTTGCCACTCAGGATTTCGGGGACTTCTTGTGTTATTTGCATCTCGGCCAAATTCCAGCTTGAGTATAATTGCATTTGGCCTCCTGTAAAAGCTTCCTTTCTGTCTCAAATGACAGTGGTGGTCTCCAATTCCTGATCTTATCTGCTGTGTGATCTTGCTGGGCTTCTGTTTAAATATGACTTTGTTCCAAGCCAGGAGTGGCCATTTTTAGTAGCCAGACAAACAGCCCTGTTATAAATCGGAGGTAGGCTCAAGTAGTGCTTGTGGAGTTTGGGGTGAGACTTGCGTTGCTTCAGCTTCCACCTACTAAGAGGAAAAGAGGTGACCTATAAAAAAGATCTTTACCCTTCTTTGCCTTTCTGTGTCTGCCTCCCTGTTTCCGTGCTGTGGAGCGCAGGAGGGACGACACGACCAGGAGTTTGCTGAACGACAAACGCCTGGTTGCGGAGCAGAAGGAGCGCTACAGCCAGTACAGCGTGGTCGTGGAGGAGATCCCAGTGCAGCAAGGAGAGGCTCGGCTCTACAGTGAGGACTACGAGGACGAGTATGACGACACTTACGATGGAAACCAAGTGGGGGCAAATGATGCCGACTCAGATGACGAGCTGATCAGCAGGAGGTAGGTGCATGGGAGCTTGATGGGAATTGCCACCTTGAGTTGTCTGCCTCACACAGACCCATTCAACGCTGGGTTTGCTTCTGTCTCTCAATGAGGACGTGTGCTTTAAACCACCCATTTTTCTTCCGCTGCTCCTGCTTTCTCTATAATGTGCAATGGGGGCGATTCGGGTCTCTCCCCCGTTGGTGGGGAGTTGTTGCCAGGACGTTCTCAGCCTTCCACTTTCTGTGGCTGCAGGACTCGGCCACTGCCTCCACTGATCAACAGATTCCAGAGGGGACTTTGTTAAAACCTGCACTCTGCGGTGCTTCTGCTTACAGAAAACTGCCCTGCAGCGGAGGAAGATGGGCTGTCCATAATCAGGATTGAGTGCAGTTGGCAATGTAAAATGGCTGGTTAGCAAAGCAAAACTTCACAGTGTGGAAAACCGTACAGCCAGATTTCTACTCCTTGCCAATCCCCTCTGATATCTCAGAGTGCTGAATTTCGGTCCCTGATGGACTGCACAGCAGTCTCCAGTGACTGGCAGCTGGAGACTGGCAGCTTTTAGGAAGCAAGGAGTTAGTTTGGCATGGGGGTTGTAGAATATTTATTTTAGAAATAAGAGCTGGAGATGGAAAACACGTGTTTTAGAAGCTGGTTTAACATTTCTGAAAGTAGCCTTTTAAATTCTGATGTATTAAGATGTCAGCATTCCTAACCTCGACAAGAAATGTATTTTTGGGGTTCCTTTGTCCCTCTTGCTTTTCTTTTTTTTTCCCCCTCCTAAAGCATGACGAGGCTTCAATTCAAACCCTCTGGTGGTTTGCCTGTAACAGCGTGGCACTCGGGGCTTTCTCCGTGCTGCAGGTGCTCAGTCCTTGTGCTCCTGGAGAGGCAACAGGAGCAGTTGGTGGACGTTAAACGAGATCTACAGGCTTGAGGGAACAAATGGGTTTACATTTATTTCTCTGACAGTGGAATGATGGATCTGAATTCCAGTAGAATTTAAACACACACACATACATACATGTATCTGTGTGTGTGTATATGTATATTTATATATATTTATAAAAGAATTAGCTATAGTTATGTGGTGAATTCCACCTCACCCCCCTGGGCCCTTTGCTGCTTTGCATGTTCAGGGTGATTCATAAAGCTTGATGGATTTCTCCAGGTATTTTCCCTGTGTGAAACTGGGGCACAGCGATGAAACTGGGGCTCCATGGATAACCACTGACCAGTCATAATGGCTTTAGAGCACAGCACTTTTGAAGCATTCGTGGTTCTCTCTAGGTTTGAGGGTTTCTCTCTGTACAATGGATGTTCCCTGCCTGGTGAGCTAAAGCCTAGCAAAGTGTACTCCTGACTAACGCCTCGTGGCTGTGCCTGCATCCCCTCCTCCCAGAGGAAGCAGTTGTTTTCCTTGGAGAAATTCCTTGTGAGGTTTCAGGTTTTTCCTGACCTGCTCGTTTGGTTATTTTCTTTATTATTATTATTTTCAGAAACAACTTCACAGCGAATGTTGCCTAGCGAAGAACATCTCTGTTCGTTAATTGTCCGTAGCAAATGTGTCATTAGCTGCTGGCTTTTTTTTTTTTTCTTTCAGAAAAGCAAGCAAGTCCATGAAACTTGCAGATTCTCATTTTTTACAGGATGCAAAACGAAAAGGATATGCTGGTCCTTTCGCGGCTGTACTCTCTTCATTGCTGACTGTTTGTGTCTCAATTCTCAGGCCGTTCACAATTCCTCAAGTTTTGAGGCCTAAAGGACAGGAGGAAGGACAGGAAGAAGAAGAAGAGGATGAAGAGGAGGAGGAGGAAGAAGCTGAAAAGGAAAGAGCAAAGGTGACATTTAGTTTGTGATTGGAGATTTACCATAGATCTTATCTGCTTCACATGCCAGTGTTTGCCAGGGATGGTATGGAGCAGGTTTCCCCTTTCAGAGAGTGAATCCTGTAACAGTAGCATGGAGACTGAGCTGCTTTTCAGAGAGGCTACTTCTGCAGTCTGCTGGACTGCAAAACGTCCCACTGTCCACTGCTGCTGGGCCAGCCGTACTGGAGCAAGGACACTGACTCCATGGAGACATTTAATCTCCTTTATTCCATAGGCAGACAATGCCAGCAGACCACTTTGAGGGTCACTAATGCTCTGTTGTCATGGATATACTGGAAATAGTGACGTTGATGGTGTTGCTGGCAGAGATGGGATGTGGGAAGAAGGCTCAGTGAGGTTTCCTGCCAGGTTTTGTGTTTGGAGTCATTGACACCAATCCTGCTGGCTCAGCCAGAAGAGATAACGAACGGTGAATCGAATCGGTTCCACAGTCCCACAGTCACCTCCTGCTCCAGCCCTTGGCAGGATGCTGATGAGTTCACTGACCTCTTGCCTTTCTGCCCATGGTAGGACCACTTTGTGCAGGACCCAGCCGTACTGCGGGAGAGGGCTGAAGCCCGGCGGCTGGCTTCCCTTGCGAGGCGGGGGTAAGTAAGGATCTTCCTCGGCAGGGTGAAACCGTGGCTCTGCTGTGCTTTGTTGCTGACTTTGAACTGTTGAGGGTGATGTTCTTTCATGTTCCTGTATGTCAGGGTCACCAGCGTGGGGGCGTTAACTTCTTCACCCAACTTCAGCTTCGCTGCTGATTGTGCTCTCCCATGAAGTGGGCAGGCACGTCCCTTTAGCACAAGCAGCAGAACCCTATGCAAGAAAGGATCTTGCACAGCACCAGGGATTTCAGGACAGTTTAATAGCTGGTTTTAGATGACAGACTGAATGTGTAGAAGGATGCAGTCGTTGCGTGGCTGATGCTGATGCTCAGCTGTTGCAGAAACCCTGCTGGGCTGAGCTGAAGGCCTGGCGGCTGAACTCCTCACACCGTCACTTGTCAGGATCCATAGATCTTGTTCCCAAGCGTGCAGTGTGCTGCTCGTGATGTCCTTTTTCTGTGTACTGCAGGCACAAGCACGACAGCTCTGCTGTTGTTGGGAACGTGAAGGGACATGGGCAGAACCGGGAAACAGCGCAGGAACGAAGGAAGAAGGAAGCAAACAAAAGCACAAGAGCTAACCATAATCGGCGAGCCATGGCGGACAGAAAGCGGAATAAAGGCATGATTCCCTCCTGAAAGCCTCTTGGCCCGGGTGTTGCATCCTCCCCAGTCCCCTGCTTCGGAGGAGGCAGCTGTGCTCTGTTCCCTCGGCACTCCCTTCGCTCTGGGGACTGGCTGTCGTGGTTCAATACCTGGCACTTCAGCTCGCGCGGAATTGCACACCCTGTGAGAGCGCTGCCGGTCAGGGGAAGGGGCTGCCCTCCAGGTGGGCCCTGGCTGCTCCTCGGCGCAGAGAGGCGTGTGTGTGCCAGCGGGCTGCACCAGCCACTTGTTTCCTTTTGTACTATTTATGATCCTGAGAATTTTATTTTCATACTGGCTCCTTGCGCCCTCTCCACAACTCACGTGGGCTTCCAGGCCGAGCAGCAGGCGGCTCTGGGAGCAAGGCTTCCCTGGAACAGCCCTCGCGGCTTCCTGCTCCGCCGAAATGCCTTACCCCGCAGTACCACTTGAAGGTGGATTGAAGAGCGCTCAGGCTGTTCCTGTTCTGAGACACGCAGGAGTTTGGGTGAATAAGACCGTATCATAAACGTCTGTCCCTTCATTGAGGTGTGTGAAAACAGAATGTGCAAATAAATGATTTAAATCCTTTAGCTGATGTTTTAGGCTCCGTAAGAATAGTGTTGATCTTCAGGTTCGACCTCAACAAGTCTTTTAATGTGCTGTATCTTCAGGCAGTGACATTTACTTCCAGTTTTGTGTTGGTTTAGTGTAATGAGATCTAGCCACAGCCACCGAGACTAAGATACCTGAAAATCAGGATCAGGGCCTCCTAAGCAAGATGACAGTTGTATGGAAGCCAGAGTCCCTGGGGAGCTGCCTCCTCGATAACTACTTGTCACACTCTGGGAAGCAGAACTGCCCCAATCACCGTGTTTGCTGTGGGGAAGGCTGGGAGCTAACAGTAAACAGCTTGTGCTGCTGAAAGGACTTCTCCCAAGGGCCATCTTTTGTTACGGAGTTGTTCCCTACGCAGGGAGCCGCACAAATTCCCACCTTTACTTTGTGACCTGTCTGTGAGGTGCTCAAACGGCTGCCGCGCTGTGTCTGGGAGCACAGTCCTGGAGTGCTGTCCCCAGCACGGAGACGAACTTCAGGTAAACAATTGGGCTGTGCCTGGTTCATCTGCTCCAAGGGCCATCTCCCCACCACTGCGCTCTGGGTTTTTTCTAGTGGTTGTCATGCGCTGGCTGAGAAAATCGGCAGGGGGGGGGTAGAGCTGCCGTTGCAGGGTACAGCCAGCGCTGCAGAAGGGGCCAGCTCGGGAGGCGCGTACCCCCTACCTCGTTGCTCTGCAGAGGGCAGGAACTCTTGGGCTGTCTGATCAGTGCTGCTGCCAAATCCTCCTGCGCTGGGGCGCCTCTAGGTGTAGAAATGGCTGTGACCATGATGCAAATAGGATGAAATCCTGAGTGCTGTGAGAGCAAGACTCTGCTTTGCGTTATCAGCACTGCCCAAACCCTGCTGACAAGGCACAGGTAAAAGTGAATCACATTTATTTACCAACTTCCCCAGCTCCACTGTCAAGGGGAATCTGCTGGGATAACAACTCTGCTCCTCTCTAGCTCCTGTTCTCTGGGCTAATGGCTTCATTTACTCTCTGCCGTATCCCCTCCCCAGTACTGCATTCATCTTGAGCTCTTGCTTCCAAGAAGCTGCAAATCTCCATCACCTGCTTAGCACAGCGTGAAGCTATGGGCACTGCAGACAGAGCAGTAAAGCAGGTGCTCTGCTGCTGCACAAGATATCCCAAGAAAGCTTGAACTGTTCCTCTTAGTGTCTCTATAAAAGCACAGCTGGGACTGGGAAAGCTGTAGTTGGTTTGGTGTTTTTTTCTCAAAAACACAAACATGTTTTTTAAGTCCTTTTTGTGTTCATAGAGTAAAAGTTTTACTCCTGACACCTATTTGCAAACCCAATAAAGCTGCTTTCATTAGCACTGTCTCTAATTTGCTCTGCCTCATCCATTGCTAAGATTCCTCCTCATTAGTGACAACAGAGTGAGGAGGGAGAGATGCAGTACAGGGGTAGAGCAGGAGTCACTCAGCCAGATCTTCCTGCAGCCACCCGAGAGCCTGCAGTAATTAACTGCATCATTACCCAAACAGGATCTGAATTTCCCTTCCCTGGGAAGGCAGAGGGGTTTGAAATGGTCACCAGGAACAGGGGTGGACCCTTCAGAGGGGCTGCAGAGAGGATTGCTCCTTCCCTTCCAACAGTCACAGCTGGAGCCACACACCCAGAGGTGAAGGCTCATTGCAGAGCAAGGCACCTCCTCTCCCTTCCCAGCAGCTCCCCACCCCGAAGGGAGCCCTGCTCCTGGAGCCACTTGGCGAGCCCGAAGGCACAGAAGGCGCTAGGGAAGAGCTCCACATCCTGTTTCCATGGGCTTTGGCCAGGCTGGAAGTGAACCCCAGCCCAGTTACACCCCAGCGCTCACCAGCAGCAGCTCAAGGGGCAGGTGGTGAGGCAGCCTTCTCGCTGGTTAGGGCAGGGGCAGCAGCATCTGCTGTGGCTGCGAAAGGATGACAGGGCTGGAGCCAGCATCAGAGGTATCAAGGATTTACAAAAGGGCACGTAAATAACTTTAAGTGAGCCACTTTTCTTTGACCATGATCAGAAGCAGGCAGCTTCTCTCCCCTCTCTTTAAGTTCTCATCACGGAGAAGCCAAGGGTCCACAGACCCCAGCTGGGGAAATGCTTTCAGGTCTTTCAACCCATTTTTAGGGCACAGTGATTTCTCATGGTGCCTTGAAACTCTGGTGCAGGGCCACGCTGAAGCATTCTGCATCTCCTAGGGAAGGAGAAGTTCAGGCAGGCCCAGCGTGAGGCAGGTGAACACAGGCACGAGACAGACCAAGCATGTTTTATTTTAACACAGCACATGTGGGTACAGCAGCAGAACTCCTGGAGTCCGTCGTGGTTACGTCATATCAGGAGGTGGCTGATACAACCTGGCTCGGAGTTGTTCCATCAGGAATCATTTGGACACAACCATTTTCAGGAGGGCGAATCCTTCCCTGCGGTGTCTTCTGCCACCCCAGGCTGGATCCTGCTGCTGAGCACTTCACTCTTCGTTTCCCTCGTACTTGTGCTTGATGTGTTTCCACAGTTTCTGTGTGCAAAACAAACAGAAAACCCCACCCCAAACGTTAATGTTTCCCAGTGGGCCTGGGACAAGGACAAAGTTTCATTTCAAAATGCAAACCCACGGGCTCAGTAAGAGCAGCACCCGTGGATGCTCCCAAGGCTTGTCCTGCTGTGAGGACGGGGACAGCCCTGCACTGGCATCTGCAGGACAGGGACAGCACATGGGGCGCTCCGCGGCGTTTAGCCCAGAGGAGGAGGAAGCTGCAGCCGTTCCCTGTCCCACTTGGTGAGCCAGAGGTTGCCAAGCACATTCCAGTCACATTGCCCCGTCTCCCCACTGCGACTGGCGGGCACTGCTGCTCCTGGAGACGCAGGATACACCAAGTGGTCCTGCTGCAGGCACTGGAATCCACTGGTGCCATCAGGACTCAGAGCAGCACTGCACAGGGGCAAGGTTTGTTGTAGACAATGCTTTAGATTTACAAAAAAACCACAACTCTCAGTGATTCTGTTTTCAAACCCAGCTTGAGAAAACATCTGCACACAGAACATGAATGTTACAATTAAAAAAAAAAGCTGAAGTTCAGAGGTGATTTTATGTTCACTTTTACCAAATGACGTCCTAAAAAGGTGTCTCGGGGGTTCTGCTCTTTACTGTGTTTCCTCAGCTCCAGCAGCCCCTGGTGAGTTCCTTCAGGGCAGTGACGCTGTCACTCCCAGGGGGATCAGTTTTCTGCGGGTTTCGTGACCTGGCTCAGGAGGCCGAGCAGGCGCTGTGATTAAGGGGCACTGCAGGACAGCTCTTTTCAGCAGCAGAGCCATTGAGATGCCCTGGCTGTTCCAGGAAACGGTGCCCCGGGTGCTCCAAGACCCGACACACACCAGCACCGCAGGACAGGCAAGAGGGCCACTGCAGGGGGTCACAACACTGAGGAGCTTTGTACTCAGTGCGAGGTGGGAACTGCATCCCCTCGTCCTGCCCATGTGCTGCGGTATCCCGACAGTTGCCCCACTGCAGATGTGCTTTGAAATCTAATGATGACTTGCCCTGTCTCATCTAACGCTCATACCCGAGATGGCAGACTCTGCTGTCCTGTACAGCACTGCACGTCCCAGTCACA